TACAATATCCTCTCTCTTCTGGAGAAAGGCGAGAGCGTCAAACGGAAGCCTGGTTCTTGCCGCCCGACGGTGCTACGCGACCGTAAAGTGCAGCTGAAGCTGAAGAGGAAAACCGAGGGCAAGGTGGCCTCATCGTTCCACGCCTTGGGTCGTGAGGTCGGAGCAACCGGCCAAACCAGGAAGATGTACCTGGATAAGATGGACATTGTTATAAGGAAGCGTCAGTCGAGGCCGGCCTTGTTTGAGCAGCAGGTAATCGCCCAGAAGGAGAAAAATTTTATGCGAACCTCAAACGGAGGATCTATTTCAATAATTTCGTGGCCAAAATGGAGGAGCAGCTGATTGCCAAGGCCACGAGAGAGCCAAAGAACATGCCAACATTGACCTTTTCATCGGCTATGGCTAAGGTTCCGGACAACTGCCGTGAGCCGCCCGGGTAGGGCGTTGAATTTGTTTGTAATAGGTTTAATAAACGTAGGATTTACGGAAAATTTGTTTCATTGAATTACCTTTTGCAAACGTTAGCTTTAAAACTTCAAAACAAGAAAAACTTTACCACAAAGGCAAGACTTGATTATTTAAACAAGGCTGACAGGGCTTTGAAATTGGAATTTAATGAAACAACTTTTGAAATGAGGGTCAAAGTTTTACCGAACGTTGAGGTGCTGAAAGTTCAGTAAACAATTACCGAAATCGGTAATAGCTTGGGGCAAGTCAGCTTTTGATCATGAGTAAAATTTGATTTTATTTTGAGGAAATCTGAGTAACTGTGGAGGAGCAGGAAAAGCTGCTCGTCCGCTGCTGTTGCTGATAATGCTTATATTTTTTAAGATTCTTATTCCACTTCTGTACGGATATTGGCATCCTTTAAATAGTAAAAAATGTCCACTAATCTGACGAAAATTATAAATTTCCACTGGGAAAGACTTACAGCACACCAAAACTGGTCAGAAGTGTTGTTTTCAAACCAGAATGGTTATACATATAGCCGATTAGCCTAGAATTGAATTTTTAATTGCCGCGGTAAGAACATACGGTTCTATTGAAGGATCAAAGCTTTATGTAACGATTCTTCATAAAATGGAACCGCAGTTTCTGCAGCCATGTTGAATGGATATTTTTTGACAAAAAAATGAATTGCATGATTTGCAAATCAGATTATACAATAGTAATGAATATGGCAGTTTAAGCTATTTTAGACTTATAGACGGGCTTTTATTGAAACATTATTACGCATGGTTGGTGAAATCGAAAATATTTTTTTGACGTCGGACTACGTCTGTGATTTCTATATGGGGATATACTTTATGAATACCGAGAAAGGAACATGTAACGAAATTATGAAAGATTTTGAACGTTAATAACTCAGCTGCCCCTGGACCAATTTCAATAATTTTAACACCAATTGAGCAAAAATATTTCTACGCATCGACACCACTGTTGATGTTTAACAAGAAGCTATTGAAAAAGTGGTAAATGTCAAGCATTGTCCAAAAGCGTAGAAAGAACTAACAAATCCACCAATTACGTACATGCATATGCTGCTCCCCCTATGGGGCCTCCCTTAGATCAGTCGGTAAAAGCGCAGCTACAAAGCAAGACCATGCTGGAGGTGGCTGGGTTCGATTCCTGGTCCGGTCTAGGAATTTTTCGGATTGGAAAATTTCTCGACTTCCCTGGGCATAGAGTATGATTGTACTTGCCACACAAACATACTAATCCAAAAATGGTACAGGCATCGAAAGCTCTCAATTAATAACTGTGGAAGTGTATCTAGAACACTAAGTTGAGAACACTCAATAAGCTAATATGCGGTATGCAATAAGCTTGAAATGCGAAGAAGAAGAAGAAGAAGAAGAATATGCTGCTTCTCCAACACAGGCATCAGAAAATCTTTTCTAATGAAACATGTTGAGGCAGCATCGCTGCTTCCCCAACACTGCCATTAGAGAGTCGTTAGTAGACGAAACAAGTCGAAGTGTGATTCGCCTCGGATCTTTGGGCGTGTGCAAATAGGGAGGATGCAATTGCGTAACATTTTGCACACTCATCGCTATATTCAGAACCACACGCCCCAACGATCACACAAAATGCTCTCTAGAGTTGTAATCTTGTAACCAAACTTGGAAGCAGGGGTATAAGTGATTTTGATCGATTCTCTTCAACGACTTTCTGTTTTGTTAGTAACTCGACGGCTAACACATGCGTTGTACGTTTGTTGTTCTGGATGATAGAAGAGCATAGCAGAAATAGTGTGAAATAGGTTAGTGAAGCGATGGTCATCAAAAGAGGAAATCGATGAAGAGAGTTGACTTTCACCTCTCTGCTTCTAAGCCTCTTAATTCAGTCGCCGTCATAGCAATGAAAACTAGCATCGCACCGCTTGTGGTTCTTGGGATACACTTGCTGGTTGCAATTCGACATTTTGAAAGAACCACCAAAAAACATGAAATGACACTATTTTCTTTGGATGCCTAAAAATCCAATTATTCGATTAACGATTAATCGGTATAGATTTTTCCAGCTATTCAACAAAATATTTATTGAATTTTCAATTATTCGAGCACGTAACCGACATCCCTTCTTATTTCTACTCGTTTGATTTAGTGCAGTAGAGAAAATAAGTAAAAGTACTAATTTATCTGAACAGGCATAGAGAAGAACCGTGAAACAGGATCATAAATTCGCCGAAAAAAGTGTTAAGAGTCTTTCTGCTAAAGGCTGAGATTCACCAACTTGTTGAGAGAAAGAGTTTAACGAGAAAAACTTAAAGGGGGAGGAGCTTTACATTGATATTCTACTAGAAAGGCACAGCAGATGAAGTGTATGTTAAAATACCCAAAATGGGTGGGGCATGATTTTCTAGCTTTCCAAAAATGATTATTTTTTCATGTCCGATTGACAAGCGACAAAATCGCAAAACGCGGAGGAACTTCAGCTTTAGCTAACAGAAGCTCCTCCTATTTGGTGGTATCGGTAGCATCTAGTGTGTCGTTCGATGTCCAGTGCCGTATTATTTATTGAATCGCATTCGGGTACTTGGTAACAAACTGTTTGTTACCTTCAGCGTGCCGCTCATTTCTGCCCACCTGCCACATCTGAACTGGTTGAATCGCTGATTGAATTTACTCAAACGGACCTTTTTAGGTTCACCAATTTATTTTCAAGGGATAGGTTGATAGGACAGAACTACTCAAAGTTGGTTCAATGGACCGAGTAGCTCGATTTACTTCAAAATATGATCGATGGTTCAGAAATTCGAAGCTAGAAACCACCTGTTTATAATCACAATACTTACTGAAATTGTCTGCAAATGTGACTGCAAAAGGACAAATATTTTCTACGGTGACTACAAGAAAAGCAGCAGTGTTGCAGAGGATGTTGATCGCCATGGACTGCTCAGATGTAGGAAGGTTATTCCTACACATCTTCATACATTTAGATACATGAAGGAACTGCAGAATCAATCGAAGAATAAGAACCGTAAAAGAACAGTTCCAATAAACCAGTGTACGACACCAAACCTACTTTTCCCCGCACCGACTGTTCACCATATAAACTATGACATTTCTGCTGGGTTTATTTTGCTCTTGTTTATTACTGATCATCTCTTTCACTCACGTGAAGAATGACGAATAAAAGTACAAGCAAAAGTGAGGATAGCTTTCGCGTGCAGTGGTCTAGGTTCCAATTGAAAGTGATCATGGCTCGCCGATGTGGAACGGCGAGTTGACGTTAACCATTTTCATTTCAGCCTGCTGCAGTTAACAAATAACATTTATTATTTAAGACCACATAGTTCTACGCCACCATTGCGTACAACCCCATAGGGCTGTCCCTTGTAGTTTTTTGTCACCTGCGATTTTTATATTACCATCAAAGTAAACTACTGGATGCAATGCACTTTTATAATGGTTGGCACGAAGCACTGGCAATGCAACTAGTTTCAAATAAGGTTTTAGGATGTTTTCCATGCAGACAGCTATAAAGTCATTTTGAAGCTTAAAATGCTACTTGGGCAGTAGATATGCGCAGAACAAATGACCATAAAAAAAAAATATTAATTTTTGCTCAGAAGTCAAATCGATTTACGGTCTTCAACGAAGTTGTTCTGCACAGTTTTTTTTTTCTATCTTAGTCCTCAGTTTGTAAAAATTGAGCAATTTTAGAATTTTTAACAAGCAGTTGAACCGTTTCGGACCGTTTCCCATACATTTTCGGATAAACATAATAAAGCTTTCTCGTAAATCCAGATCGAAACCAAATTCGTTCAAATTTGGCACAGTAGTTGGGGACCTCAATACGAATCGAAAGAGCTGTGGTTGGCCCACACTATTAGCCATACAAACTTTTTGGTCATCTGGGATTTAACCAACACGCGTGAATGAATGATCCACAATTGTATTTAATTTGTTGCTGATCATTACTACAGTGCCAACATTTTAAAGGGGCGCAATTGCTTTTGTAAACAATGGCTTTAGCCGTCGATTTCTCGCAAATAAAAGTCCACCTCTCCAAATTACTAATGCTCGCTGGGACTGGAAAAATTCCTCTATCTGCTGGTCTCATTCATTTTCATGAGTGAGCTTTCATTCGCGAGAAAACGACGACTAAAGTCATTGTTTACAAATGCAATTACGCCCCTTTGAAATGTTGGCACTGATTTGTGGGGTTACTGGATAGCAATATGTGTATGGACTTGTTCTTGGTTGCTTGGACTAAAGTTCTTCTATCAACGGGTTGAATTCATCTGATGACTGCCACACTGCAAACATTCATTGTATGTCATCAGTTGTTACCAAATCTGTCAGCTTTCCAAACAATCCTCTCGGTCTCCATAGCTACACATTCATCCTCGGTGGGCAAAACATTTCAAAATTCATCAAAATCCTCACATGCACACACACACACACACTCTCGCACCAATATTTGCATTCACCTTTTGTTCCGATAAAGCCCTCCCTCATTTCCCCATCATGCAGTGGAAATTCCATACGTACCGTTGTTGATAAGAATGTGGATTTTATCAAACTTGGGCTGAATTTTGCCGGCAAACGTCCGAACCGATTTCATGCTGCCGATGTCGAGCTGTTCAAAGTGCAGCTTCGCTCCGGCCGCCAGCTTTCCATGCTCCAGGTACTTTTCGACCGCTTTTTTCGACTCCACCGGATTGCGGACACCTGTTGTTGTTTTTGGACGTTTTGTTGTTGTTCGTGTTTTCGAGGTGCGAGGGTGGATCGAAAACAATCCGTTTCCAAACCGACCAACGACATTAATCGATGATGCGATGATGGTGAAACGAGGGGAAGAGAAAAAAAAAGAATCGAGGATAAAAGAGAGCTTTCAGATTGTTGTTTTTCAATTTCTGCCGGGCACGTGCATATTTTCGTTCATTGTTTGACGGAATGCCACCCACCGTACGTACTATGGTTACACATTCCACCGGGGCGAGGACCAGATGTGGGATCCGGTGCCTCGAGGAAACTCACCTAATATCACTTCGATGTCACACTCGACGAGCTTTTTCACGATCCGCAAACCGATGCCGCGATTTCCACCGGTGATGAGGGCAATTTTCCCGGGCTGTTTGTAGAGAGCTGTGAAGAACATGGGAAAAAAAGGGAACGTTAGAAATGGATTTTTTTTTTCCATTGAACAGCGGAGGAATGCGGAATCTAAATGGAATTTTTTAGCCTCTTTCGAAAGGGGGGATATTCGCTTTCCGGTGAAAATCGGTTTTTTTGATCCGTTGAAAGGTTGGTATTTTTGGGGGTTGAACGTGGCTTAACTCATAAACAATACGAAGTATGATTCAGATTTCATGAGTGGGCATTGCGTCGGTAGAGTGTCCACCAGGGTGCTTCATTCTGTAAAAAGTATTAGGAATCATTAGGGCCACCCTCCAGTTTGATACATAGCCCCAAGATATGAATCTGTGCCAAAAATGGTAAAGATTGATGATGGTTTAAAGGTCGGTTGAATGGTTTGAAATTGGTATGGGGATCATGGTGGATAAATCTTATCATGGACCTCATGGTCCTACTCCCAAGCTCCTTCCTGATGCTGTTGAACAACTCAAAATTGTTAGTGGGATGAAAGATGTACCGCATGCCATAATCCCTCCCCATGGACATGGATATTGACGGTACTGAAGCAAAGGGTTTCTTTATATTTGCAACGATGATGATTTCCTATTGTGACACATATCACCTTCTTAATGCTTCAGCAAGCCTCAAACGATTAACTCTTGGTTGTTAATAGAACTTCCTTGATGAAATCGATTGCTTCATGCAGGCTGAGCAATTCTGATTGTAGTATCAGATTTGTTCTGTATACAGAGGAACTGGAAGGGCTTATTAGAATCTTCTCACCAATAAAGTTATCATCTTCTAGTAAATTTTGCATATAATTTTATTATTATTTTATTTTATTTAAGCATATTATTTTTGTTACAGTCAATTAGCATTAGCATACGATACAAGAGATTTAATATTACTTGCTCGTTTTTGCGTAACATAATCAATAGTTATATTACTTGTAATAACCTTTGAAAGTTTTTTTCAAGTTTTTTTTTGTGATCTGAAAACTTTTCCCAGTTTGGTTAGAAGTTTCGAAGCTAACGCATGTCCACAAGACTGATGCAAAATTTGACTTTTTCGCTCCACAGTGCTTAAATGGTTTTAAATCGGGTCCTGATTAGCCTCCCAAAGTTACAACTCATTTGGTTAGAAACAGACTTCGCACAAGCCATTTGAAGTTTACATGTAAATTACTATGGGAAATCTCAACTATTTGTACATTGCCTTCTAGTCTTTTTCCATATTGAGCTGCGAAACAGTTCGATAGCCATTCTCATATAAAATGTTTTCAGCTACAACTTTGCTCAAGATCGTTTCTATGTAAAACGAGACAGGAAAAAGTTATTAATTATTTAAGAGATTGGTAAACTTATGACATGATCAAGCAGCTGCTCTGTAGGCAACACTGTATTTTGCAGTGTGACATAGTAGCCATGATTTTTGTGTCCTATTCAACGCCCCAGAAACACCAATGTTGCCTGCTGAGCATGATCATAAGACATCAGCGCATTGAACCATTGATAACATTCGATCCTTGCATTTAATCAAAAAGTAGTCTTCAGCAAAGTTGTAGCTGGAAAAATTTCCTATAAGTACAGTTGAAAGTTTCTGAAGCAAACCGATGTGGTGCATTATAAGACAGACATGAACAAAAACCTTGGTTTTACCATAGTAATTGCCATACAAACTTCAAATGGTTTGTGCCATCTCAGTTTCTAACCAAATTGGTTCAAATTTTGAGACGTTAGTCAGGATCCTATTTGGAATCGTTTAAGTATTGTGGAGTGAAAATTTCAAATTTTGCATCACTCTAATGTCCACAGGACTAATAGAAAAAATGTATCATGAAGAATGGTTGCATGCAGGGTTGCTTCCACTCACTTGCTAGGGATGTAATGGGGATTTGTGTTGTTGGATGCGGGAGGAGGTTGGAGGGCGGATGTTTGACATTCGCTTTCAGAATGTCGCAGTCAGCGGTTTTATGATTCGTGAGCGATCGCGATTCGTAGAATCGTTGATTGTGGCTGCGAGTGGATTTGACGGGTTTTGTGTGTCGGACGCTTGCCTTTTGGCCTCTTCTTGTGTCTAACATGTGCAGAGTATCATTATAGCGTCTAATGGTTTTGAGATTCCTGGTTGCGTGAAATACATTTGTGAGAATATCTTTTTGAGTTTTTAGTAGTCACGTTTGGTTTGTAGTTTATATTTTATTTCTTTCATGTAATTACCGTAAATAAGGCCGGAACAAATATCAAGTAATTTTTATGTCAGCCCCTCCCCTCCTCCCCTTAAAAATTTTGGAATATCATCAAGGGGAAATAAAATAAAACTTTCAATGTATATTTATTTTTCGTAAATTCATTTGGGTATGGATACTCGCTTTGCTAGGTTTTATTATGTTGTTGTTGTATCACCTTGTTCTTTTAAAGAATTTTCACATAAATTGGTACAGTCGTTCGAACATTTATGGTGCCGAAACCCGGGAGGAATTCCCATTCGCCGTCACCAGGAAAAAGGAAGACTCCAGAAGGTATATTGTTCCAGAAGTTGAGGTTACGACAATCACGTGACGATCGTAAGTGAAGCATCAAGGCAGGTGGGTACCTTTTGTCTATGCTAATTGAAAATGAGTTTGCCCAAAAAATCTTCTCTGCGGAAAAATGTGTTGCATCATAAAAGTCTACACCGTAGAAGAGACAACATACTCGGTTCTGCCAAACTAATTCAACGGTTTGATGAAGAGTTTGAGGCTACCCAAATCAATCTAGTTGGTATAAGAATTGAGCGTTTAGATGACCTGCGGGAGAAGTTTGAGGATACGGAGGATGAAATCGAAGCGTTAGAGGATCAAGAGGAGGGTTTCTCGGAAACTCGTCAAGAGTTTCAAAATCTGTGCTTCGAACTCAAAGCATCTCTTGTTAGCAAGCTTCCCTTGCACTACAATTGCACATCCCACTTCTCCGGGCCCACGTCCGTCATATATCATACAAGTTTAGATTAAAGAACGTGTAAATTTATGAGACATGTCATGCTATATTTCATTTTTTTTCCTTGATTTGTTTTCCGTCGATCTTGTTTTCCGTGCTGAGCACCAATGCTACCGACGCCAGGGAGGCAGCTCCCACACCTGGACCCTACCTTTCGACCCATCAACTCATGAACCGGGGACCAACGGCTTTACTTCCCTTCCGAAGGAAGGCGTGATCAGAGATATTATGCCTCAGAACATCCCGGCGGCGCCAACTGGGATTGAACCCATGCCTGCTGGGGTGAGAGTTAATCACGCTTACCATTACACCACCGGCGCCGCTGTGCTATATTTCATATATTGTATGCAACTGTCCACTTTGGTTTGCAACATTTCTTGCAAGCTGCTAGTTTACGTGAAAAGGAAGTTTACATGTATGAATGTTTGCATGCATGGATGTTTACATCGCCAGTAAAGTTCAGAATTTTTTGGTGTGCAGTATTGGCAAATCAAAGTTGCCACTCGTGGAGAATAGAAGAACTATGAGAGTGATGATGGTTTCAAAATTTTACACGGTGAGGTATACGAGTGCAATCTTAAAATGCTTTTATTTTGCAAATGGAGTATTTTATTTAAATCTGTTTGACGCTATGTTAGTAGAAAACTTAAGGACTACTCAATAGACAAATAATACAGAAAAATTAATTTCTTTTCAGATTTTTAGGTGTACACATAGATTTGAGCTTTTCTACCACTGTAGCAGCAACCAGATTTAAATAAAATGTTCCATTTGCAAAATAAAAGCATTTTAAGATTGCATTTGTATACTTCCCCGTGGAAAATTTTGAAACCATCATCACTGTTATAATTTTTCTATTCTCCACGAGTGCCAACTTTGATTTGCCAATAAAGATTTGATGAGCTTTATTTTGAAACGATCACGCACACTACAAATGTGCTAACCAAACCTCAGTCTGCATACAGCAAATCCAACAAAGCCATTTAGAGGTAAATCATCCTCTCACATTGTCTCTGAGAGCGTAGTTAAATGCCCCAATTGTAAACAGGCTCACACGATCTCTCAGTGTGAGGCCTTTTTGAAACTATCGCCAAATAATCGGTTAGATTTCGTCAAAAAAACATCAACTGCTTGCGAGGAGGACATCTGGCTAAAGACTGCCGCAGTAGCCTATGCAGAACGTGTGCATAGCTTACTGCACCTTCCCTCAATTGCATCTGTCACGAGAGTTGTGGAAGAAAGGCCTTCTACCTCAACAACATGCACAGCTGTTTATTCAACAGACAGCATCTTCCCTCTGGCGGGAACTTCGTTTTCGGGATCGGTAGCACCGTCGGTGGTGCCTTCCCGTAATTCACCACAGGCAAACGGGTCGTCGTCGGGATCGTCGGTAGTTGTATCGTCTCCGCAGTCGTTCGCCATTAGTAGCTCCTCTCCCTCGTCGTCGGTTTACTCGAAAGATCGGTCCGATTCTAACAAGTCCCCGGCAAGGTGACAGATAACCTTAGTTTCACGTACCCACTTGCAAATAGTAGATGTCGCCACACAACATAAACAAAGGGATTGTCCTTCACCGCCGTAATGGCATTTCTCTATGGGAATACAACTTTCTGTTTCTCCATGTGTGGATGTCAAACAACAGGCAAGAATGGTATATGATAAGAGCGAATTTATTTTGTTCGTGGTGAAATGAAATAATCCAAACAAATTGAAACCGATTGAAGAAGGTTCATTTTCTTAAATAATCAAATAACAATAAAATACTTTGCTGTCTTCTATTTTACTTTGCTCTTGAATATTATCAGCCTAAAGATTTGTTTTTATTATAGTGGTGCGGTAAAGGCTTGCCATGGGCTGTATGAATAAACAAAAAAATTACTTTCCTGTGTTTCTCTATTCTTGTGATCTTGTATATTCTTCTAACATGCAAGACTTCTGAAACTAAACTGTAAATACTCATTAATCACCACAAATATTTCATCGTTGGAAGATATTACGAACGGCTTGAAAATAGAATCCTTATGAGCATCT